GTTTAGGACGGAACTAATCTTCCTCAGTATATACTGTTATCCTCTTGATCGAATATGATCAACTTTACGTATATTTAGACGCATGCTTTAAATTTTTATTCTAGTTGAACAATATCTGTACTGATCATATCTAACAACAGTTCTAGCTGTTTTTCTATAAATATAATATGATCAACACTGTTCAGTCATCTATTAATTTGCTCCCCATTTTGTCTCAAGAGTGAGTAAAATTAGGACAGATCATCCAATCTCTCGACTTATTTTAAGGTCTGCATCAGACAATCTTAAATATGTCAATCTGTAGCTATTTAAGATAGCTTTGCCCAGATGATGACCTTAAAATAGGTCGAAAGCTTAGCATTAACAACTGAATTTGCTTTCTTCTTCCTTCCTAGATCCTAGATCTCCAGAAAATGGAGTGAAAAGTGGTCGATATTTCTAATACTGAAAATAGAGACCAACAGTCAAAATGGAAAAATGATTAGTATTGTCACAGTTCATGATATTCAGTTTCGGTATCAAATAGTATTAATATGCATTTGGAATAAATATGATCACTACTGATAAAAGTAAACAGTGGGAGTAAGAAGACTGAATAAGAATAGTATGATAGTGTGCTTCACTGTTTACCTCGAGATGGAATTTGCCTAGTCCAACTGTTATCAAACCTGAAAAAAAACCAGGAGCATAATTTCTCTTCTGTTCTGTCAGATCTGTATGGTGTTTCTACCAAAACAATGAGTTAGTTGTTATTTTTACTTGTTTTAACTTTTCCATACGTGGTAGGTTAAACTTTAACGATTTTTCACAAATACGAATTCATGCTACTAAATATTAACCTAATCTATACCTGGCGGGTTCAGATTACAGAGGCACCATTGAGGGCTACACTAACCCTAACAACTGGGTCGTCGGCAAGAAGTCCATCGCCTCGCCGAGCTTCTTCCATTTTCGCAAATAAGTAATTCATACAGGATAACCATGCTAACATTGTTCACAATTTAAAAATTGTTGAGACTTTTTGACATTACCCGGAGTCTTACCAGCCTATCACACTCCACATATCCATTAAACGAATTAACCAACTTGTTAGATGGAACATGGAGTACTCGATTTTCCTCGACAGTCCCGTCCATTCATAGAAAAACACTTTCGCTAATAATTCATTCAGTCTGGAGGAGTCAATGCCACTTCATCAATTTTTTTACGAGGGTTTGAAACAGCAGAGGTCTTATAAACCCTCTTTGAAAAAAAAAATTGTAAATATGTCAGGTTCAATGAGGGCCGCTGGATTCGAACACGGGACCTTCACCTTTCACAGTGATGAGCGCTGTGTCAACGCCTAAACCGTTGAGGCCACCGACGCCCTTCATTATGTGTATATTATAAATTATGTGTAAACGGTGATATATGAAAGGGGGGAATATCAAATTTTCCACCACCCTACGAGTATATTAGTATTAATAAGTACTATACTAGTATTATTAATTAATGTATAATAATATAATATGGACAAGGGATTATATATGACCAACAAACACTCAGTCCACCTATTTTCACTTTTTTCTATACTTAATCACTGCTTATCTATTCACTGAATTTGATCAATACTGATCATATCTACCTAGCCTATGTTGTCAATCACATATTCTTACCCTCAAGTCCGCCGAAGGTCGTAGGTTCAAATCCCGCTCGTGACGCTTACTTTTCATCTCAACTAGGACCTTAGATTTAAGTATAATCAATTAATATAATTAATAGGTCAGTTGGGACTACTAAAAAACATCATATATGGGTTAGTATAGAAAAATGTTGCGATATCATAGGTTCAATCGTTCAGATGTGTAATTTATAATGATCTCTGAAAATTGACACGATTCTTTTTGATTTTATTCACCAGAACCTTCTCAATATACGACCATTATTTCTTCTTATTTTCTCTTAAATTGCAGTCAATGCATATTACATAAAATACTAAATAAACACAGTCAAGCTATTCTGAATCCGCTCGGTGCGGACATGAAAGTAAAACGAACCCCATGAAAGTCAATTTTCCTCGGAAATTAGATGGGCTTATTCAATCAGCTTGCTTCCACTTCACTTGGTCGCTCGAGTGACGGATGTGCAGAACGTTTGGTATAAGCTTTTGGTCGTTTCACAGCGATGAGGGATGGTTTTAGAAATAAAAGGTAGTCAGGATAGTTAAACGCAGATAAATCCTTTTCTGTTCGACTTTTATGGGTTTTTTTATATTTTGCTTAATAGAATATTCCGCAGGCATCATTCCATTTAAAAAAAAAGTATAATACAGACTATTAGAAGATGTTTCTTGAATAATTGTACTTCATAGATGAACTGAATCAATTTCTCACTTCTAGCTCTTTGTTTATGACTTAATGACAAAACATTTCCCTTTTTCAATTAATTTATTTAAAAATAATATGCACGCAGTAGTTTTTCTACTAGTAAGATATAAAGCATTTGCGTTTCAATACTTATAGGCTGACCCTTGACCACTCAGAAAGTAGTTTGTCCGGTTTTTTTATTGCTTCAGCAACGAAAAATCTGGCATCGCGTTGACATTGTGGAATTGCCGATCAAGTCACTGTTTCATTTTTATTTTCGACTGCATTCATGTGGTCAAGTTTGACAACTGTCCTTTAACACTACATTCATACAAATAAATACATTCATATATCGACTCGGATAGCATGATTTCTTAAAAAGAAGATAAAGCTTCTTTTTTTTTTACTGGGACTTCCGACATCTAAGTCATTTCAGCCCCCAACTAAGTCTATAGTCTATATTCTATTTACCCTTTCAAACACTACATTCATACAAATAAATACATTCATACACATAAATACATCCATACAGTACACTCATTCCGTTTGGTCGGTGGAGTACTTGATATTCCTCCACCGACCTATACTTAAACTAATCTAGATTGGGGTCGATGGAGTATTTTTATAAATATTCCGCCAACGACCCCGAACACACACTCTTATGCTCTCAACGTTCGAGGGGCGATGATGACGTTATATTTCACCCTCACCCCTCGCCATTCACGCTAATAAATACATTCACTCAGACAAAACATATAGATACGACACATAAGACATATTATATACAATTTAAAAAAAAAACAATTTCCCCCCCAGAAAACCGGCTGCACTGTTCGAGTACTATTTTCAGATTGGATGGCATGCCTACACGCTCCCTGTAGGGAGCCAAGGCACGACATGTTTCCAGTATGTGGGATCGAGCAACCTTTCTCTGCATAAGGGGCACCTGCGCGGGCTTTGGCCCAAGAGCAGGTGACCGATACAGCTATTGAAACATTATCAAAATTTTTGTTTATTCTTTACTTATCAAAAGATTTAACGTGATAGCTGTCAGTTAAATGTCAAACGCAGAAAAAATAACTTCTTTTTTTTCTCGGATATCGAATTTAGGGTTTACAAAGAAATATAACAGAAATATGTAATACGTATATAAACTGTCACAAAGTTAATTAAATCCATTATATTTCGTGGTCCGATTGACCAAATAACTTCTTTCAGTTAATTAATCTTTACGTAAGGTATTGGTTGAAATGGAAAAGTCAGTGCCACGAGCGGGATTCGAACCCACAACCTTCGGCTCAATACGCCGCTTCTCTAACGATAGCTCAAGCGGTTATTTAGCCGAAGGTCGTCGGTTCGAATCCAGCTCGTGGCACTGACTTTTTTATCTCAAACAATATTTAAATATATTTAAAAAATTAAGATAAAGATTTTAAAGGTTTTAAAAAAAATTAAGATAAAAATTAATTGAAAGAAGTTAATATAAATGTTAAGAATGGTTTAAATAAAAATGTCTAATATGAAAAAAAATTTCATTATTTTTTGATAAATTTTTACATCTAACTTTATTGACTAACAATAAAGCCATACTTATTATAAATATTAAAAAGCTGGCATGTCTAAGTTTCTTTAAATGGTAAACCACTAACTTAAATTCTTTATCAATTTCCATTGAAATATTTAATTTTTCACCTTTCCCTTGCGCTTTACTCTTATTACTCCAGTATCGAAACGGCTTGCCACATTTAAATTTAAATTTAAACGAAAACTAAATTACTATCAGATCTACTAAGGGACTGAGGACAGCTCTCAACTTTTTTCAGAAAAGATGAAAATGTTTACTGTATGAATCATTAATGTTAGGAAACGCCTGTGATTAAAAGCAAATTTAGTTTTCGTAAACAAACGTTTACGTGTTTGCCCAGTGGCGTGTTCACAGAATGGTGTCTACTAGGGCAATTAATTTACACGTCAACGTCCTAGCCTTTCCTGACCGGGGTTCCCATGTCGTCTGGTAATATTCCAAGGCTTGTTTTACTCGGAACCCTTTCTTTTAAGTTTCACCTGGGGATAAAATGAATTAGGACGGGACAGGTTTCGAACAAGAACTTCGCTTGGTAAGATTCAAAACGAAGAAAATCAACTTTGGTAATCTTTTTAGATCAAGAGTAACCATAAAGGATGAAGGAGTCTTTATGATGAAGGGGGAGGCCTTTGTAAACTTTTTCGTGTTTATTTATGGTTGCAAACATTTGTCGCTCTTCATGAGGCTTTAAAGAAGAAACTATTTTGCTTATTTAAAAAATCCTAAATCATTGACGACTTAGGAAATGCTTTGAAGGGTGACAACTTACAGTTTTCCTCTGAGCTGCCGATGTCATCATCTTAAGTAACTTAAAATTTCCATTTTTACTCTTGTTGATAGACCAGTTTTATATTGGCAGTAAAAATAATCGAATGGTAAATGACCCCCCCCCGTAATGCTTCCCTTAATATTAAAAAAAATAAATAAATAAAACGAATAAAACTGAAATGCCAGTTCTATCGTATATGTATTTTATGGATCGACCCACGTCCATTTTTAATGAGATAAGCGTTAGTTAATAATCGTTATCTCTGCCCTATCTATTGCCGTGGTTTATCAGCAATTCTTTATTAGTTCAGTACCACTAGACAATGTGTACCGAAAGTTCTGAGAAAAAATATCCGAAATTTTCAAGCGAAAAACCTTGTACTTTTCTACTCCTTGGATCAAAGTAAGTACTGGTATCTTATTCTAAAGATAAAGTTAATTTATTATAGTAAAAAAATAGTACTCTCAAGTTGGTTTGTGTTATATAAGCGTCGCTTGAAAACATTTTTAGTTCGCTAAAGCTTTTAGCAGCTATTCGATCATTCATGTTACATAAATAATTAATTTTTTTCATTTTTAAATAACCGAAAGAACAAATATGCACATAAAAGAAAGCGAGAACATGCGGACCCAGTGTGTCAAATACGTGACATCGAAATTAAAAACGTTAAGAAGCAAAAATACCTAATCTAAATTTTTATGTAATAACATTAGAGCGACTGAAAAAAATCGATGTTAAATTTATAGCGGCTGTATTACAAGAGAATAAATGAACGAAAAATTAATTGTTTGTTTAATCAAATGCCGTTGGGCGATTAGAAATATGTCATTAAAAAAAAGTCCCGATAATAAAGTTTTTTCTCTTACTCTGTTCAAAACTGTCCTAATTAAAAACATATCTAATCTAAAGTACTATTTTAGAGGAAAAGTGAAATAATAGTATGTCATTATCATTATTATGTCCGGCATGTAGAGAAGAGAAAGGTTGCTCGATGTGTCCGACGTAATTGAAGGGTGCGACTTGGCTCCATATAGAGAGCGCGTAATGAGATAGTGCTCGGGCAACGCAGTGTGTCTTTTAATCCCCTATCCCGATTACTGGAGGAAACCGGATTAATTCTGTCTATATAGTTCAAAAAGATAATCTTTTTTCCACCTTCGCCCCGAAGCTAATCCATTGAACATGGAACACATTATTGGAACTCAACTCTTTGAAATTATCAGCTTCTTCGCCGAGACCCATTTAACATCTTCTGAACATCTTCATCCTGGATAAAACCTCGTTTATTTCATAATCTTGATGATCAAGGACTACATTAGTCCATGTGGAAGAGACGCTAGTCTCACTCGTCTTCTGGCGCCTCTACAAGATCAACTGTTTAAACTGTCCGGCAACTCACATCGGTCTTACATCCCAATATCTGGACAAGAGAGTAAAGCAACATATCTCTGATTGCAAAAAACCCAAGCAAAATCCTACAGCACTCGCTACCCACCATTTTGAACACCAACACAATTTCGACTTCAAAAATCCAAAAATATTACATACAGAACAAAACAAACATAAACGTAATTTCTTAGAAATGGTTTATATCAACAGAGATAAACACAGCATCAATTACAGAAGAGATACAGCAAAATCTCACTGGCATTCTCAACACGACACGCAAGAATGGCACAATTACACAGAAGACAAACACTTAGAGTGAGTAGAAATACTTTGATTGAACATAAAAAATATATTTTGCATTGTATAAATTCACTTTTCTACATCCTAAATGTATTTGTTAAATGTAAACAATGTTTGTAAATCCCAGGCCCTGAAGATGATCTTAATAAAGATCAAAACGTTGGCACGATAAAGAAAATGTTTTTCTGATACCTACATCACACCAGACCGCATCTCACGATTTCTGAATAAGTATTTAATAGCATCCATATATGTTTAGCGGTCATAATTGACAATATTAATTATTTCAATTAATTATTATTTTCATCTCAGCCAAGACCGTAGATAAAAAGAATAATTTATTGAAATGTTTTTTTACGAGGGTTGGCAGCAGGTTATATCAACCCCTCGGGGTGCCGGTGTTTTCGAAAAGACATTTGTAAGTATGTCGGGTTCGAATGCAGAGCCACTGGATTCGAACCCAGGACCTTTACCTTACAGTGATGAGCGCCGTGCCGATGCCTAAACCGTTGCGGCCACCGACGCCCTTAATTATGTGTATATTATAAATTACGTGTAAACGGTGATATATGAAAGGGGGGAATATCGAATTTTCCACCGCCCTACGAGTACGATGTAAATATGAAAACATGAATTATGAATGAGTGAGGGTGTGAGTGTATTTAGGTTAAAAATATCATGTCATAAGGTGAAATTTCGGTCTAATTTCGGTCGGCATAGGACTGAGAATAATCCTAGAAAATCAGCAGCACCTGAGTAGGTAACTTGCCGTGTATAATTCGTAACTCCTATTTATGTTAATTTATGATTTGATAGAACTGTTTTATTGTTTCAAAATAACTAATTCATTCTATTAGTTTCTATTTTGGTTATTTATTTTATTTCAGGAAAATTTTTACTTTTGTTAACCGTTCTCAATAATTTATAATCAGAGAGGTTTATATTATTTTTCAGTGCATAATTATTTGTTTATTTTACTTTGTTCTGTTATTATTATTATCATCATTACTACTAATACTACTATGTTCTCACTACCTTCCGGCAGACGGAGTATCCATGCAGTATTGTTTGTTTTTTATTTATTTATTTATTTTTTTTTTTTTTTGATTGGGGCTTCCGACATCTAGGTCATTTCAGCCCCCAACTATGTCTATTTTCTATTTACCCTTTCAAACACTACATTCGTACAAATAAATACATTCATACACATAAATACATCCATACAGTACACTCATTCCGTTTGGTCGGTGGAGTACTTGATATTCCTCCACCGACCCTAAGTTTGTTTTTTATTGTGAGATGCGGTCTGGTGTGATGTAGGTATCAGAAAAACATTTTCTCTATCGTGCTAACGTTTCGATCTTTATTGAGATCATCTTCAGGGCCTGAGATTTACAAACATTGTTTACATTTAACAAATCATTTAGGATGTGGAAAAGTGAATTTATACAATGCAAAATATCTTTTATATTCAAAGTATTTCTACTCACTCAAAGTGTTTGACTTCTGTGTAATTGTGCCATTCTTGCGTGTCGTGTTGAAAGTGCCAGTGAGATTTTGCTGTTTTATATTTATACGCGTNATACTTTAAAAAAATATATTTTGCATTGTATAAATTCACTTTTCCAATCCTAAATGTATTTGTTAAATGTAAACAATGTTTGTAAATCCCAGGCCCTGAAGCTGATCTCAATAAAGATCGAAACGTTGGCACGATAGAGAAAATGTTTTTCTGATACCTACATCACACCAGACCGCATCTCACGATTTCTGAATAATAATTGCTCATAAATTTAATTATTATTATTGTTTCAAAATATATCAAAAAATAAAATGAATAAAAGCCTATTCATTTTCGATTTTTTAATTAACGTGTAAAACCGATCAAAATAAAACGTTTAATTATTTTTGTCTATTCAGCAATAACATGAAAATAGAAAGATGGATGTAAATTTTCATAATGTACATGTGTTACCAAAAATGTCAAATAACAGGGAAGTGGCTAGGGTTTACTGTACATCCTGAGGGTTTCAATTTAACGATTTTCAAAAACTTAACATATTTGTAAAACCAGTGAAATTCAACTTACAATAAGTAAGATTTAAAAAAAGAATTTTTTTCGCAAGAACTTTTATTTATTTTTAATGTGAAAGTGTGCTAAAGTATTTTAATGTATGTCATTTTGACTATACATGTTTCTACAACACGAATTTGCATCTTAGTTAACAGAAATTGCGCAGTAATTCTGAAAATTTGGATGGGCGTGTTAATCAATAAATTTAAATTGCAAATCATCCTCTTTAATACACAAGATGGAGGTATAGATTGTACGGTGTAGCTTAAATAAAATTAAGTCCTTGTGTCTTTAACAATACAACTGAGAATAAATTGGGATCGACTTTGATAACAGGGAACCATAAATTTTGATCCTTCACGAAATATTGAGGCTTGGAAATTTCCGCCAATAACTTTCAAAAATTTCTTTTTCAACATAATTTTAAACTTGAAACCTATAATAGGACTTCGTCCTCTATTTTTATGTTGAATCAAATCTGATGACATCATTGAAAGGATGACAATTGCTTGTTTAAGTTTGTAAGTACCTTTATCCTTGACGAAGACATTATTAATTTATAGGAAGTAATAACTTAAATCCGATTAACATAGCTATCTATTTTTCTTACTGTATTTTTTACAATAATTAGCATGTCTGGTGTCCTGTGTCTGGCGTATTTAAAAGCTCTCAAAGGTTGTCGTGAGATTGGACAGATTATATAGAAAATCCGATTAGTTTCCTGATTTAAAAGTTTATTTTTCGTTGTTAAATGGAGTTTATATATTTTTTTCTATATAATTTATAAAATTGAGTGTCGCTGGATAGCACAGATTTTTTAAACTTAAATTCTTAATACAATAAAAATAGGTAGATAGATACTTGATTTTACAATTTTGTGCACATCATGAGACACATTTATAAAATTATATACAACATGGAATTAAATCCGTCTGTCGAATAAGGTAAGAATAATTAGATTAAAAAAAAAATCTTATTATTTAGTTTATAAGGAAACGATAGAGATTCAAGTTAAATAATGTTAAATTCGCTAGTTTTCGTGGTCCGTTTGACCAATTAGTATCTTTCAATTAATTAAGGTTATTAGTTGAGTTAAAAAAGTCAGTGTCACGAGCGGGATTCGAACCCACGACGTACGGCTAGATACGAAAATTCAAAAGGTGGGGTTCAGATGGGAAGTTGGTGTCCGAGTGGATCAAGGTCACGATAGCTCAAGTGGTAGAGTAGCGGCGTATCTAGCCGAAGATCATGGGTTCGAATCCCGCTCGTGACAGACTTTTTTATCTCAACTAAAAACCTTAAAGTTACGATTGTGCTGTTATTATTACAAATTTTACGTAGAAGAAGAAAGAAATTCTTCTTTATGATTTGAAAAACCATCACAAATGGAAATCTGATCTCTTAAACTTTTGACACTCAAGTACATATATATATATATAAACTACCAGTTTCGAAAACGTAAAACTAATAAAAGGGCGATTCAGATTACATAAACAATTTCCTGATTTCACTTAGTAGTTCATCACTGCAGACACGAGAGTAACTGTCATTACATGATGCTGTTCTGAGACAAAAAAAAAACTAATTCTAATGACTAATAACGATAAATATAAAATTTAAATAAAACACGCATATGCAC